GACTGGAAGATAAGGAGAGAGAGAGAGAGAGAGGAGGAGGAGGAAGGAGAAGAAGGAAAAGGAGGGATATATATATATATATATAAAGGAAGGATTTTATTTCTTTTTTGGATAATTCTCTCGTTGTTCCTTTTTCTTCTGGTGATGACAACTGAAGAAGATGTGAGTTAGTGGTTATTGGTCAGTGGTGATAACGAGCAGGAACGTCAGTAGAGTGAACTAATGCCGGTCCTCGGCTCAGTGAAGTGGCGTGCCAAGTGGATGATAAATCGAGGAACTTAATAGAAATATATCGTCGGATCGTTTGGATCGGTCTCGAATATTGGATAGACCATGATCCTGACACCGGACAGCAGCGCGCAGGCCACGATGGCGACGTCACCGGCACCTGAATCCCCCATCTCGAGCATATCTTCCCACGGTTCCCGCGCGTCCAGCGTGTCGCGCATGTCTTCCTGCGTATCTCAGGGAATGTCCAGCCCTTATCACGTGGCCCAGTTACCGCATCACCTTAGCCCCAACATGCCTACCATGGATTCTACCGTTTCCTCGGCCAAACCTGAGCCTGAATTGAACATAGGTACGATTCCGTCCGAAACTCGAAATAAAAAAAATTTTAATTATTCGTACGAGGAAGAAAGAAGAAGAAAATCTATCTTTTCGTATTATCCGTTTCTATTTCTCTTTTACAAAGAAATACCGATGCCAGAATTACAGAGAAAATTATAGAGATCTCGGTCAGGTTCAACGAGTATATATAGGGTGGTCCATAAGTCCGGTCTTATCTGATGGTACANNNNAAAAGAAAAGAAAAGAAAAAAAAAAAACGATCGCGCGTCGTGACAGTGGAGTGAAAGCAGAAAGTTGTAACACGCCGATGCTGTAACCCGCCGCGAGAGAGGAGAAAGTGTTCTTCTTTCTCTCCCACCTTTCTCCTCTCGGACACGCGCTCTTCACCACGTGGAGGGCAACGGGAACATTGACATATCGATAACACGCGCATATACATATATATATATATATATACGCATATAGTGTGGACAGTGTGTAACCTATTTTTTTTTCTTCTTCTTCTATTTGCAGAATTCGACGGGACCACAGTATTGTGCCGTGTTTGCGGGGACAAGGCGTCCGGTTTTCACTATGGAGTACACTCCTGCGAGGGATGCAAGGTGAGTGGAAATTCGAGCCCGCGACACGCGACACTCCGTCTTTGACGTCTTTTTTCGATCCGTTTACAAATTTTCGCTTACGATCCTCGTTAACCGCTTCCTCTTCTTACGAATCTCATTTTCGAGTTTCGTATATATACCGGGAATCGTGTTCGCGAATAATATGCGCGATTTTTTTACGCGAGGTCTTGTCGAAATTTTCGATACTTTTTTTTCTTTTTTTCGTTTAATTTTCCATTTCGTTTCGTTTCATCCTATTCTTCTGTTTTCTTCTCTTCTCTGCTCTTGTCGAAGAGAAAAGAGATTGGCGAAGACACGAGATTTTAAAAAAGATTGGGATTTAAGCGAACGAGAAAGAGTATCGAAAATGTCGATCGTGAGGCGATGTGGCCAGGAAGTGAACGGAGCTTGAATGTGAATGTACGATGCGACCAAGGCTACGGAGAAGCTATCGACCGAGCACAGCTCGACCTTGTACACGCGGAAATCGCGAGACCATTCGAGCTTGGTCCTTGACGTTGCCCTCCTCCTCGTGGACGAAAAATCTTGCCAAGGTCTCTTTCTTTACAATCTCGAGAATCGTATTCTTGAAATAACATTCGTCATTATTTTTTTTCTTTTTTTTTTTTTATTCAAGATCACAGATATTCCTCTTCCTTGTGCGTATATAATATATATAAAACAGGCTGATCATGTTAAAAGTTCGTTTAAATTGATCTGAATAGAATATATTTTAAAAATATTTTTACGATTAGAGAGAGAGAGAGAGAAAGAGAAAAACTTTTACAACTTTCGAGAATGGAAAGGAACAGGATACGCGGTCGTATTCGATGATCAGATTTTCCTGGAACACGGGTAAGCAAGAAGGGCAGGAAGGGACAATAGCTTCGCGGGCGGTTACGCAAAAGGAGCGGAAAATGTGGCGAAATTTCAGTTTAGAACGTTAACCTTCGCGTGAGAAGGATGGCCGGGACAGGTAGCAAGTTTTGTATCGGTGGTTTTCGTGTGGCCGAGTTTTAGGGCACAGGTATGTGCAACGCCGAAGAAGAATGCACATCCGTCCATGCAACTTCCTGTCCGGCTTCCCCCTCTCTTCCCCCTTTTTTCTCTATTCTTCCCATTCGAATCGAATCGTCCCTCCCTCGAGGGCCATTTTTACTCGAGAAAAGAAGAAGAAAAAGATACGTCTATTCTAAAAAAAAAAAAAGATGTATCTTTGGTGTGAAAGAATGTTTCGAAGGAGAATGACTCACTTTCTGAGGGAAAAAAAAAAGAAAAAAAAAAAAGAAAAGCGTGTCTCCGTGGAACGAGGAAGGTGAAAGAAAGAAGAGTTCTTTTCCCGCGAAACCTCGAATCGAATGTAAATCGTTTCCCTCCGAGGCTAATAATTACGCCCCGCGAAGGCCAACGTCCTCGTGCTCGTCATTGTGCGACTTCAAGGAGGCGCGTGGTGGGGGCAGCACAGGCCGCGAATTCGTTTTAGGAAGTGGTAGAACGTTACCCCCACCACGGCCACCTCTACCCCCACCACGCCGACTGGGGACTCGTGGTGGGGGGTATTCCGCCAGGTGTTGTGAACCGGTGTGCCGGTGCTCGCAGATCCTCCTCGTCCGTCGAACCGATCATATCGCTTTCATCTCTCCTTCTCTTCGTCTCTTACCTTCTCTGCGATTTTATTTCTGTCGACACACGAAATCGATAATATTTGTTTTATCTCTCATCTCACGTACGTAGTTTCGTACAGAAGACGACTTTCAACATCTCTCTTTTGTCGATCTTTTGCGAAATCCAGATAGAATCGGTCATTACTCCAACTGACCCGACCCAACAGGGGTTTCGATTCTTCCTTTCCAATGGCATAACGATGACTTTCCCCTGGGTTAATCCTCTCGATTCGAAACACCCTAGGTTCCGCTTGCCCAGGCGAAAGGAAAGAGAGAGTGGAACCCGTCGCTGGAATCGCCGAAAAGCCAAAGAGATGATGGCGGCCCACCACGGGGGGAAAGAGAAAGTGTCTCCGTTTAAACCCCGCTGATGACGTTGGGGATTTTTGAACAAGAAAATTCCGTCTCTTCTTCAACTCATCCTCGATACCTCGAAACCGGAGAGAGAGAGAAAGAGAGAGAGAGAGAGAGAGGAAGAGAAAGAGGAAAAGAAAGAGAGAGAGAGAGAGGAAGAGAGAGAGAATCGGAACCGGGCAACGACATTCCTTTCCACGATTCAAGGATTTTTCCGTCTAGCCTCCTCTCCCCCTCCACTCCTCCAGGGAGATTCCTGATGAGCAGAGCGATCGGAGAAGGAGCGGTGCGAGCCTCGGGCTGGGTTGACTGGGTCAGTAACTTATGGCCGTAGCGTAACACACACAGAGCCACTTTACGGCAAACGAGTCGACGTCG